AAAAAGACAAACACACCAAATTATTAGCAACTGCCCCAGTTAAACTTGAAGATGCAACGGCTGGTTCAACCCGTTCATTGCTAGCAGGAGGTGAAAGATGAACGGAATCTGTGACAACCTAAATGTGGAGGAACATCACTCCCAGACAAGAAAATAACAACGGCAAAAAGCAACAATTTAAAACCAACGTAATTTTTCCACAAAATAAAAACCTAAGATTAACAAATACCATGCTCTCTGTGTCCATCATGGCAACAGTAGACGGACTACAGTTATTAATGTAAGTAGTATGAGACTCCATGTCGGTATCATAAGCAGTGCCGAATGGTCGAACCTGTACATTCGAACCACCAAACGTTAAATCTGAAAAATCCAATCTTCATCCACATAAAAAACTTCCATCCAACTAATTTCAACTATAAATAACATTTACAACATTCAAACCAAAATTTCACTGAGAATTTACATTCAAAAACTTACCCTTCAGAACAGACACATCACAGGCTAAGGAATTCGCATTCAGTACTGTCTCCATCTCTTTGCATATATTGTCACCATACTCAGAATTACTGAAGTCTAAGCCAGAGCCGCCTCTTTCAGCCCATTCCCTATATTTCCAATCTTCCTACAAAATCAATTCATTAGTATCAAAAAACAGCCTATAACAGCAATTGTAGCAAAATCTTATTGCCAAATTTCAAATACGACCAAAATACTACAGGAGACTAGTAATCATACTGTGAAAAGATTAAGCGATTAAAATTAATTTTAAAAAATCCTTCTAGTGAAATAAGATTTACCTTTCTCCCAGTTGTTAAAAAAATCATATCAAAAGCATTAACAGTATCAGTACTTCTGATCTTCCTCTTCTCACGTGTTCGATTCTTCTTTGTAAGCTAAAACTAAAATAGTGTAAAAGGAAAATAAACCAGCTCGCCAGTGAAAGGTTGAAAAATCCTAACGTTTAAAAGGTTCAAAATATGTAAAAAATGAACGCGAACAATAACAAACTACCATAGAATAGTGTTGAAATGACCAACCCTTTTTGGCAAGAAACATTTCATTTCCACATCGAGTTGCCCAAGTAAAGGTTCTGATAATTCACTCTCCCTTTGTACGCCGAGACTTTGATGATACAATGAACTAGAAGGCATAATCACTTGAGGACAGCCAAATGAGCTCGAATTTGTCTCGCTTGCAAAGAACTGTGAAGGGCTTTTTCTGGTCTTTAGCACTTCAGAAGCAGCTTCCCTGGGAAGATAAAGTATTTATTAAATAATACAAGAACGAAGTGTCTTGAACGCCATCTGAACTTTACAATGTTTTTGAGAGAAGAGACTTGTAAATACAGATATAGCCACCTTTTCGGTGCAACTGAAGCAGTTCTAACTAGTCGTCGATAGACAGGAGAGCCGGAATTACAATCGGCTGAAGATTCCGAAAATGACTGCACCTCATCTAAAACCAACATGATATTGTAATATAAAACACTTGCGAACACTTGTTTGGCAAGGAAAATTCGCACATTAAGAAAAATCATATGTTTTCATCAAACACTGTAATGGTGAACACAGAATATCAACAAGCTACAAACATCAGAACTAAAATATTACCAAATGAGTCAGAACGACCCTTGCTACCACTCAGTGAAGAGTTACGACTACTATGGTCATAAATCCAATCTGGTGAGCGACGCTCATACTTACGACCGAAAATGGGAGAGCATGGAGGTGATGGAGAATTTGAATTAGTTGGAGAGCGCTGGTGAAACGGTAATTTCACTCTACAAAGTAACTGGCGTTACCCAGCTAAAATCTTCAAGAGTATGAAGTCTAACAATAAATAAAGATACCCTTTGTTCTTCCCCACGACATTTTCGTCCCCACAGAACATTTTGTTACACGGAGAACCACGGGAGGATGTACCTTCAAAACCAATTCTATTTGTGAAGAAAACAAAAGATTCCACTCTCTTTAACAATAAAAGTGTGAGAAAAGATCAAGCAACAAAAAACATTTCTGCCTACTGTAATGAGAGCCTGATGTACTAGGAATTGGAGTTCTCAGAGAATTCTCTAAATGACATGGGCAAGATAAATGTTGGTCAGCATCACATTCATTGCCTCGTAACCCATCGGTTAAATTCCACCTGCAAAGTGAAGATAAACAATAAACAGTTTTTGTTTAAACAACCTAAAAAGTTATTGTAAAATTTCTTACTTTGTATCGTCGTCATTTTTAGATCCAATAACTGGAGGTAAAACTTCCGTGTTCTCACGTCTTCGACTGTACAAAGGAAGAATACACGCCTCTTCCAAATACCTAAACGACTTTTATCCTGGTGCAACAAAAGTGATTTAAAGGAAAAATTTTCTTCTGAAATGAAAGTATGCAAACTGAAAAGCAAATAAGTGAGCCCATCAAAAAAAATAATACACAGTACTGACCTTTGAGCCACCCTCGACCCGTTGACCATTGAGCTGAACATAAGATTTTTACTGATTTTGGGTGGATATTGAATGCCACTGTTTAAACGTTTCCGCCGTTTTTTACGAATAAGGGAGTGAGGAACATGTGAAGGTAATGAAGGACCATCGGCTGCCTTATTGACACTAACAGCCAAATCGGGCAAAAAACCTTCAGCGATTTCCTGCTTGACATTTTCATTCAAGTTCTCCTGTTCTTCATTACTCGACTCGCCCTCGACATTCCTAAAGCGCAGTAGCATAATGACAACAAATGAGCCAAACGAACTGATAAAAAAAAAAAAAAAAACGTAAATTGACAGAAAAAACCTTAGAGTCAAATCGTCGCTCGCTTGTACGACTACAAGAGAGCTGGGAAACCACATTCTAACTCCATCTACGTCAACCAATACCATTTTTGGAAGCTTTTTAGGAGTCTTATTTGCCTAAACATGGTAAGCAAAATGCAGTAAAATCGAAACAAAAAAAATATCTAATATGAATAAATGAAACCAAACAAACCTCTTCTAAAAAACTGTTTGACCGCATCTTATGCAAAGAATTTTCAGGCAATTTCGTTTCCCCGCACAAACCAAAAAACAATTCCCAGTCGTTCCATAATTTCTCCACCTTCGAACCACTGGCATCTGGATTCGAATAAACAGATCTATCTTCGTCAAAAAACTCTTGAGAACGAGTCTGCTGACCGCTATCGAATGAAGCCATATCATTCACATATTCCGACTTGATACCAGGATTTAACTTCGGCATACCTACAGTTATTAATGTAAATAAAACTTATAGAGGATTCAAGCTAGAGCTTACTAAACAAGTAAAATAAATCCGGGATAAGACCTGCAACTAACGTTATCACGCTTGAAACAGGTTCGTTTTCTACGCAAGAATGAAGTTCTAAACAAACAAGATAACTCCGTGTAAAAGATAAAATGGTCTAAGTATAACTTCCATGTAACCTTGATCATTCATTAGTCGATTCTGGACGGGATTCGCACTAAGAACTTCCTCACTTTCTTTAGGAATCAAATGAGCACGAAGTGACCATGGACCGAGAATAACTGCCTGCTTTTTACGCAGTTCCAAATGCGCTGGTGAGAGCCGAAATATAGCAGGTTGTTTTTGCACATTGACACAGGTACAAACAATATTCTCCCCATGAACGAAAAAGTTGAAGCTAATACCAAGAATGTAGCTGAAATCTTATGCTAATCATCGAGAAAAGTAGGAAACCTTGATTGCCTTGAACAACTTTTAGCCATAAAGACCTTGCAGAAAGGAAAGAAGTTTGTGAATAAAACAAAAAATGAAACAATTAGAAGTATCACCTCGGTAAGCACTGCAGGCGATCCGAAGAGGGCAAATCATACGGCCGAACAAAGTATCTACCGATACGTACGTAACCACTCTTTATGAGATTTCTGTAAGGTAGCTCTAATATTACGCAAAATGAATGTTGATATCATGCCTTTCTCATAGAACACTCAAAGCAATACTTAGCAGAAGTCATAGTTATATATAACTCTCCTACAACTAATTCTATGTATGTTAGACAATTTAATGCTTCCAAAATAAATCATCCTCTATTTCAAAGCCAATTCAGGTGTTGATTTCGAGAAACTACAAATGCAACAAACCTTTCAATCAAGTTATGCAAAGCTTTAAAGTAAAGCGTCCGTATTTCGTACGGTATACCAGCCGTAGCCCAATTTCCTCTCCCATTTTCGCCGCCTAAAAATATTTATTCTGTGTTCAAAACTAAACGCATTAAGTAATAAAACAAGAAAAAGTTGCCGAGCTATATCGAAATATCCAAATTCTAAAGTCAAATTTCCTTCCGACAAAAAATGTAGCAAACCAGTGTTTACCCAATTCAAGGCCAATTAGGACAGATAAAAATACTTCTGTAAACTTTAAAATCTTTAAGATTTAAGCACGGAAAGACGAACACATACAGGCTAAATGACTCGTATACTGAGCCACGAGTTCTGGCTCATCCGGTGAGTACCAAAAAACCCATAGCTCTTTGACAACGTCAATCCTGTAATCTGGTAGTGGTATCTGTGACAAAGTATTATGCATCTGAGATGGCTGCCGTCTCCATGCACATAAGATACCAGCTTGTAAACATTTCGCGTAGGCGCTAAGCACAGGATCCTGGTCAATGTTAACCCAACTACGGTGCGATGGCGGTGTCGTAACACATTTCCACTTTAGCCCATTTAATTCGGTCTTAAAAAATTGTTCAGTAAAGCGAGAACAATCTAAGAAAAAAAGATGTTGCTCAACTAAAAATAACTACTAAATTTTGCCAAACAACATAACACCGTATAAATATTTAATGAAAAGTGAAAAAATCACTCAATTCACCAAAGAGAAAGTTTTAGATACCGGCAAGCAAAAAATTTAGTATGAAGGAAAAATAATTTAATAAAAGGGTTTACAGACTAGAACCCATCTGACCGACATCACAAAAAATAAAATGCCTATGAAAATTGTTACCAAAGCAAAAACGTTCGTATGACAATCCTCCAAACTCGCACCGTTCGTACCCATCCTTGATGACGACATAAGCTTAGCGAGAATGACAATTGAGCTTGTCAACAACTACGTAAACAGAAATTTAAAAAATGAAATATGCTGGAATGATGGTGCAACGTTTGCAGCACCACTGTGGTGACACAGAAGCTGCAACAAGGCACTGCAGGATATCTGTGAGGAAAATATTTGACAAAGGTAAGTAGCAGGAATACTGTTGTAATTTCAACGTTGTTGTTCGACTATGCAGCATAAAGAAATTTGATAAGTGAGCTTGAAATGATGCCCTGTAGAGTTCCAAGTAACAATTAAGGTTTAGCAAATAAATAAAACAACAGTATGTTCAGTGCTCTGTAAAGCTACACAAGAAACTTCATGAAAAATGGCAGCTTTTCTTTTCCGACCTTAGTAACGACAAATCACACCTGCAATTGAACTTTTATTAGTGAATGTAGCAACAAATTTTCTTCTGTAACGACGATAAAGATATTCGCTAAATTATTGGTGAACCATTCAGCACATAACAGCTTAACTCAAATCTTAACGTCCCCACCGATCACTAGAGTTTGATAGCACTTCCGCACAAGAACAAATTCCAAGTCAAAAAAAGTCAGGAGGGTAATCCAACAAAAATAACGGACTTTACTATAAATCCAGAGATCCAAATAATTAACTAAGTACACTAACCACAAAGAAAAAAATAAGACCAAAAAAAAAGATAAACAAAACTTTTAACTTTTGAATGGAGCAAATAAAAGTCAAATACCCAACTGGTAAAAATAACAGTATCCTAAAAATTAACAATTAAATGAAAAAAACTAGAGCCTAAAACGCATATAAGTTGACCAACTAAAGAAAAATGCAAAAGTGCCTCCCACCTTTACCTAGTTAGCCAAAAATCCAACACTCTTAACACCCTTTACACTCTACTCTCTGCAAAAGTTCTTTAGTTAAAATGAATCATGTCTAGTTGAAGTTCAATCACCTAAAAAAAAAAAGTGCTGCCAGCTGCCGTACGTAGCGCCACAATCACAGTCACTTTGTCT